CACTCCCGCCGGCCTTGCAGGTCCACCGCCGGGCCCCTCATGGGGCTCGGCAGTGGAGCTGCAAGGCTGGCGGCGGCGGCCGGGACCGTTGGGGGCAGGGTGTGTGGCCTTATGACACACTTCCGGTGATGTCAGGGGGTGTGGCCTTATGACACACTTCCGGTGATGTCAGGGGGTGTGGCCTTATGACACACTTCCGGTGATGTCAGGGAGTGTGGCATATGCTAATGAGTTATGCTAATGAGTTCCCCTAGCTCTTTTTCTACGAAACGACCCCTGGTCCTCCCACTGTTGCTCCCCCCCCCAAAGCACCAAGAAGACAGAGCATCCCTTGCCCCAGCCTGAGAGTTCCTATCTATACCTTGTGGCTAATAGCCACTGATGGACCTCTGCTCCACATGTTTATCTAATTCCCTCTTGAAGCCGTCCATGCTTGTAGCCGCCGCCACCTCCTGTGGCAGTGAATTCCATGGGTTAATCGCCCTTTGGGTGAAGAAGTCCAAACTATGATACTCCAATAACCTGAGACTCACTCACTCAGAGAAGGAGGTGGAAGATGGGGTGTGGAGGTGTGGCTGCTTTGTTAGCCATCTTGAAAGTGATTCCAAGAACAAGCAGGAAATGGCTCTCTTGATAATTTCATCCCCCCCCCAAATACCAGAGCGTCCTGCACTGCTGCTGATGTTGCTGTGATGCTGGTGTAGGTCCCCCCTAGGGTTGCCAGGTCTCCACAACGCCTCAGTGGGGAGTGGGAGGGAGTCCTTCGGGAGTGAGGCGGGGCTCCGCCCCAAACGGTGACATCACACGGCAACACCCCCAATGCAGTGACGTCACATGGAAGTGACATCATCACATCAGGGACGCCATGCGGTAACACTCTGGTTTGAGGGCAAACCTCTATGGCAGACTCGGTGTCAAACCACAGAGTTTTGCCCTCAAACCACAGCGTCACTGTGCAATGTCTGTTTGCTGTTTGGGGGTGGGGTTTCCCCCGCTGGCTAGCTGGCTGGTGGCAGGCAGAAGCCCCAAAGGCAGGGGGATCCACCCCCTGCCTGGGGAATGGGAACCCTAGCCCTCCCCTGCTGCCGGGAGGTTACCCCTACTGCTGGTAGGTCACCCCACTGGCCAGCTGATCAGCAGTGGGGGGCTAGGAGCCTGGCAACCTTACCTCTATGTGACAATGGGGGGGGGGGTTTGCCTGGGGAGGCTTTGATATCAAGGCTGAGACTGTCTAGCTGGTCAGCTCGACCCCTTGACTGCTGCTGGTGCCTTTTAAAGGAGCTGCAACCCGGAGCCTGGGTTGCACTTTGTCAGTTAATAATTAATTATTTTTAAGCATTATAATAGGATGCATCCTATTTGTTAGCACCCCTAAAGCATTTAAAAACTAATTTGGACTTTGACAGGAGGAGAGGGAAATGCAAAATAGTTCAATTTTGATAGCCTTATGTTTATTCTTAACACATAACTTTAATCCAATGTTATTTACACGATAGCCAAAGAGATTGTGATAGTTTGCTTGACACTTTCAGATTATTAACTCTCATATTTTGCTTTAAAGATAATAGAGATGTATCAACAATCTTATATCATTGTAACATGGATCCTTGTTACTCTTTATTTTAGGTTGTTCCCTTCCCCTGACCCTGTAGGATTGTGGTCTAGAAAATAAAATAATAATAATAAAGAAATAATTTTAAAAGGAATATCTCTAGGTGGTAGAGTGCCAGAAATAAGTTACCACTCCACTCAGCCAAGCCTTCCTCTGGCCCAAGAACCTGTCCTCTGACAGCAGTAGTGTTGCCAGGAAGAAAAGGAGGAGTGTTGGTTTTATACCCCACCCTTCACTCTGAGTCTGAGATCAGACAGTTCAATCCACTGTTGCCCTGCCTCTAATAGAGCCAGATTACTTTGTTACAGAGAATCCTGACCCGACTCACGCCTTTTAGCACTATTCAAAGCGATTTTACTGGCTGTGGAATGACCAGACAGCACCAAGCACAGAGTCAGCCCTTCTGCCATTTTTTTAAGAAGTTTGTTTTAGGAGCATGCCCACAAGCAGGGATGAGCCTTCTGGGATATGTAGTTCATGAGGCTGTCAGCCATTACTTTAAAAAGTTTTCCCTCTGAGCATGCGCACAAGCGCTTGCTGAGAATGCTGGGATATGGGGCTTCCGGTATGGACTCTGTGGATGGCGGTCGCATCTTCGGGGAGCTCCCGGAGTCGATTCGCCCACGCCCAAGGGGGGGGGTCCGCACAAGCGGAGCGAATACACTAAAGAGCCTGAGCCGCAGGTACCGATCCGGGGCACACAGGGGATGTGCCTCTTTCCCGGCCCAAAGGTCAGAAATTGAGGCTTGCCCCATGCCCCAATGGCTCTTGCCACGGCAGTGCCCCGCATGGGGACTAGCAGAGCCGCCGGACGTCACCAGGTGATGAAGCGGATAAGCGTTTAAAAGGAAGATATTCGGCCAAAACTGTGAGTTGCCTGTCGGAAACAATGATAAGCTATTGGGGTTAGAAGGTCATGATTGTAGATTTGGTTGGCATGCATATTTATGGTATGACAAAACAAAAATGGATAGCTTTTTTAAGCATCATGTGGTAAGAAAAGCATTATTTGTGGTATGGATGAGATATAAAAAATATTTTGGTGATGTAAGGCCACTTTGGATTGTACCAGTGGAAGTGTTAACATCTTACTCAAGACGTAGAGACAAAGATTGGTTGCTGTATAAAGACATAATAAAAAAAGAGGGAACAGAATGGGTAATGAAAAAGCAGAATGAAATTGAATATGAATATGAATGGTTGAAATACATGCAGATCTCTGACCTTTTTAGGTCAGACAAAAGAAATTATGGTTTTAGAGAGGAAAAAAATGAAATGGAAAAGGTATGGGAGAGTGGAGGGGGAAAAGATATCTCTAAAATGTATAAAGTGTTGTTAAAATGGTATACAGAAGATGAGACTGTGAAAGAGCAAATGTTAAAATGGGCAATAAATATGAACAAGGAAATTGACATAGAAACCTGGGAATATTTGTGGAAAAATGCTATTAAGATATCACCCTGTACCAATGTTAGAGAGAATTGTTATAAAATGATGTATAGGTGGTATATGACCCCAAAGAAAATTGCAAATATGAACCAGAATATGTCAAATAAATGTTGGAAATGTAAAAAACATGAGGGCTCATTTTACCATATGTGGTGGACTTGTGAAAAAGCTACACTCTTTTGGACAAAAGTCCACAAAGAAATGCAAAAAATACTTAAGTGCTCTTTCAAGAAAGCGCCTGAAATTCTGCTTTTGGGACTAAAAATGGAAGAAGTTAACTCGACTAAAAGGACTTTATTCTGGTACCTTATTACAACAGCGAGGATGATTTATGCACAATTTTGGAAGACTGAGAAAGTACCAGAAATCGAAGACTGGATACAAAAAGTTCTGTTCATGGCAGAAATGGATAAAATTACAAAGAAGTTGAATAATCAAGAAGACAACGTGTTTTTTCAAGAATGGAATGACTTTAAAATATATCTGGAAAAGAACTGGGATGTAAAACAAAACTTAATATGTTTAGATCAATATTAAGTCAAATGATGTTATCTTGAGGTTGGATGATAACAAATGATGTGTTAATGATATAATGAAATTTGTAAGAAGGGGGAGAAGCATTGCGGGAAGCCACTGGAGGGAGGGGGGAATGAGGTAAACAATGGACTGAATGATTTAATCTTATATGTT